GCTGCCTAATACTCAAACCTGTAGCAACACCAAAATAGTCATATACTTTGCCGTCCGAACTGCACTTTGCCTTAGTTAAGCCGAGGTAGCTTATTAGAAGGTTGCAGGGGCAGGTAGTCAAATATAGTACGTTTGAAGGAGGCCCGAGCGGTAATCAGTGATCACACGACTCTCTTTGTGTTGCTTAAGATGTGTATTATAACGGGGCATTGGGTTCGAGAAGGAAGGCTATTCCGTTGTTATTGAAACCTGATATTTCTTGGTGTTGTGGATTATTATTGTGGACTACTCTCTGTGGATTGAGGCCAGATGCAGGTGGGGCACTAACTACAACAGTGCATCCGCGACTACTAGCCAGTCTAAAATAACTGAGACTAAATGTACCGCGTTGATTTGGTAGCTTTCTATTGGCGACGAACCCTGTCGAGTACATATTTGGAGCCTTACCGCAGTCAAAGTGTCCGGAGTATGGACGGGCGCTAATGCCGAGCGCCAGTGGAGCCCACCCTCAGACAATGGAACGAAGACAAGGATGCTGACCTGTTTGCCGACGCAAGCGGATACGCCACGGGCGCGTTGATCATCCAGAAGGGAAAGGATTGTCGCCGTAGCATAAGGAAGCTGACTCCAGCTGACCCCAACTGACAAAAGAGGAAGTAGGGCCGATGGTTCATACAATCATTAAACACGCATTGGTAGCCTTCGCTGGTTGGTGTGATGACGATTGGCCCTAGTTGGTGCTCCGCCTCTTCCTGCGCAGTCCTGCTGGTCAATAACATGGCTCCGTTGCATCCAGCCCCAACGCTCCGAGTATTCCCCATCACGGAGTTTCTGCCTAGCACCTACTGCGCCTTTTTCAGCGCTTTCCTCGTACGTAGAAGTAGAAAAAGGCGGTCCATAATCAACCGGCCACTATATTGCCAACACTATCACTTTATCGTTGCAAGAATACTCAACCCTTAATCTTGAATCGAGGCACCCTTCATGAGCCTTCATCTTTCTAAATGGCTGCACAGAAGCCTAATAATATCCTCTACTCCCCGTTGCGTACCCTAGATTATGTCTCCGATCGCGCTCTCGATGGCTTTGATCATCATCGACCTGCAATCGCTCGCCTCGCATTATCGGCAGCCCTACTTGTCATAGGCACTCTCATGGTGCTGGGCCTATACACTACGATCGCATCGGCAACGACGGACACCACAGACGCTGAAAGCGTTAGCTTTAAGCTCTACAAGAATACTCGTTTTGCAGAATGTGTCGCCACTCCTGCGGAAAGTGCCAACTGTACTTTTGTCATGACCGACCTTGGAGGATTGAAGATCGAAGGTCAACAACGTTGGCTGAATAAATTGACCTATTCTAGAGGTCTAGATGCGTTGGAGTACGATTGGTGCAGCCTTGCAAGCTGCTTAGGCGGATACAAAATCGTCCCCTCTGAGCCACTCCAGTCAGCCTACGGATATTCTGGACTCATCGTTTGGATACAGATTCTGATGTGTATCACGACGGGCCTGTGGGCAACGCGATGCTTTTTCCCTCGTGGGCGGTGCGATGGAAGAGGCTGTAAGGGATTTGGCATTCTCGACTACTTATCCGGTCTGTTTGACGTGGCCATGTGGGGCTTCTGGTGGTACTCTTTCATTGTAATGGCGATCGACCCGAAAGACCACACACCGGTCTCAATATTCGCCTGGTTTAGCACATGGCGTTTTGCGGTGCAGCTCAACTTTCATCCCTATGCCTGCCGCATAGGCACCAAAAGTGGTGGTGGAAAACTCTTTATCCGGATCATGATCACCCTTGCTCTAATCCAGTTTGCTCTTACCTGCTACGCCATGCAAATCAAGTGGGGAGACATCGGTGGTAAACCCAATGGCAGCGACGTCAAGTACCGTTGTTTGGAGTCGGAGATCGCTGAAGCCCCTGGAACCTCGTTATGCACGCCGCAAAAGCTGTGCTCTATGGATTGGCTCTTCAGCAACGCCGAGTGGGTGACTGGACCAGACGCCATTTACAACCCAACTCCATCACAATTTATCGCGTTCGGCGGACTTACGATCTCGATAGCCATCTTCGTCTTCATGTCGCTTCTCTTCAGCAGTGTCTTCGGTAGTGGACCAAGGCTCCTTGATTTCGACTCAACACGTGCCCAGGGTACGTTGAAATATTTCGCAGCATTTGTAGCGCCGTATGGGATTCTCTTGGGAATAATGCTGTGGTATAGTGTTAGTGTGCTAAAGGATTTCTTCAGCCCGCCATACAAAGCCAACCGTGAGGGACCGGTAGCTTACGACGTGCAGTGTCAGGCGGTTCACATCTTGGTTAGTCCCTGGAAGTATTATCTTGATGTTGACAACAGCTACAGAGTTCTGCGGGTTGTCAGGGCTTGGTTCAACGCCTAGTTATTAGGTTATGGAATAGTTAGTAATATTACATTTCACTCTGACCTACCGCATGAAAGAGAAGGTAAACCAGAAGATGCGGTCAATTAGCACATTAGATTACCACGGAGAGCACATCACAACCACGGGGGGCCCATTGTAAGTATCAGTAGTGCTTATAGGATATCTGGGGAGGATGATATATATATATATATCAGCTAT